CAGGCGTTAGGGGTTCAGTGTGCTTCCATTCTACCACTTACTTCTCTTCGTGTTAAAAATTTTCAAAGGGCAGCGCCTGTGGCTCAAAGCAGTAAGGCACCAGCCCCATATGCCGGAGGTGGCGTGTTCAAACCCAGCCCTGGCCAAAAACTGCAAAAAAAAAGAAAAAAAAAATTTCAGTCAAGACTGTCTACAAGAACCCCTGGCTAGCTGAGGACCAAATATAGAATTTCTGGTGAACTGTGTTACTGAATGCAACTTAGTCCTGGGGCCAAAATGGGTTTCTCCCATCTGCTCACGTTTAGAAGTTGGTGTCTCTGTGGAACAAAATACCACACACTGGGCGGCTTATAGCAGCAGGAATTTATTTCTCACAGGTCTGGAGGATGCAAGTCTCAGATCAAGGTGCTGGCAGATTGAGTTCCTGGGAAGGGCGCTGGTCCGAGCCTGTAGACTGCTGTCTTCTTGCTGATCCTCACAGGGCAGAAGGGGTGACAGAGGACACTAATCCCATTCATGATGGCTCTACCCTCATGCCCTTACTGCAGTGGCCCTCCTTCCTAATCCTGCCATATTGGTATGAAGATTTCAACATGAATATTTGGGGGACACAGACATCCAGTCTGTAGCACTTGGTTGTCACTTACTTAAATCACAGATTGAGTCCAGCTATATGATCAAGGACCATAGGCTGCCTGACATGGTCTGCAGTCACCAGTAGCATAGAAACCTGGCAGGATGGCAGGGACTCTTTAAAGGGGGCCTTTGTCTAGGTGTATTTATCCTGTGGAACTTGGAACGTGAGAAATTAAAGGTAGGAGAAGGGAGCATGGTCTGCATGATGAGCCATCCACCCACTAAATTCTGCGGCTCAATAATAGTTTTCATCAAAGACATCACTTCTTCCTACCAGAGGAGTGTTGTGCGGGGGGGGAGGAACTCCTTCCAAACTTGGCTACGTGGATGAGAACAATGGAGATGCCCAGTTTCTGGGCCAAGGAGAAAAGGTGGACAAAGGAAGAAATTCCCGTCACTGGGTGGGAGAGTATGATCAGAGAGGGCGGCATAACCAACGTGCATGCCATAAACCTGCCAGGAGCAGCTGCAACTTGGAAAGCAGCAAGGTGTGTTAGAGTTCCCAGTTTCCTAGATGAGTGTAATCTAGACTGCAGTTGAGGAGAAACCCTTCAGTAGGGTCTCAGTGGACACGCCGTGCCATCGCTCCTCACCATCCACACAGAAAAACAAGGTTCACGGGGAGGTTTCTCATGACCCTTCTCAGTATAAGCCAAAGCACCACACAGAGGTGCAGTTAAAACATTTCAGGAGGGGCTGGTGTAATGCAGCCCAGGTGTGCAGTCTGTAGTCAGAAATAGGGTTTAACTTGATCTGGTTGTTTAAGAAATTACTATTTTAATGTTATGATGTTTAACTAGATTTTCTAGTTTTTAGAATGCTAAAGACAGTAGAGAATTCTTTATACTAGATGATATCTGAAGTAAGTTTTATTTGCCATAGTCAAAATATATGAGCACTGATGAAAGTCCTTAGGAGGAAAAAAAAGCCTAAAAGAAGACAAATTCCTGAGTTTTGTGATTGCAATTGTAAATTTAGTAACTACATGGACAGAAATGGTGGTTCCCCAAAAGCCAAATAAAGCACCAGACAGAATTATATAAAACTACAAATAAAGAATTTATTTATATGGTTTTTTTAGAAATAAAGATTTTTTTAAAAAATAGCAAAAATGGTGATTGTTATACCCTAATTGCTTAGGTGTGTGTTCTGTAAATTCTAAATAAGTAAAATAATATAAAAATATATTTTCAAATCTTTATAGAACAAAAAGAAAACCACATTAATCATTAAATACTTTTGGATTTTCTTTACTCCTCCCACAAATGAATTCACAAATATAAAAACTGAAGTCCATTTATATTCTGATGTACAAATCTCCAACAGTCAAGTAATTATACAGTTTATGCAAAGTAGATGTCTTATATTTACTTGCTATTGAAAGCAGAGTACAGGTTCAATGGACAAATAATCATTAAACACTGATTATGTTTAAAAAAATGCTATTGTAAAAATGTACAATAGTACATAAACTTTTGGTAACTATGCACTTTTTAAAGTACAGCTTTTAGATATAAATCTTTCAATGGTTTTCTCTGAAGAGCTGTAAGGTGACTATGTTATTTCAGAGTTGATGAACAGTAATTTGTCAGTAACCTCCTCAAAAAACCAAGCCAGGAGAGAACTGTTTCCTTTTTTTTTTTTCCTTTTTTCCCCTCCATGTGGTCAGTTTCAATCTTAAGGAAGGCTTGATGTAGTGAAGCAGCAGCAGTTCGCAAACGTCTAACTCAGGGCTGTGAATGTCAACTAAAGGCACCACCTCTGATGTGGATTGTTTCGTTCAATCCGTGTTCCACCAACTTTATATCTTCTAGGTCATCTTTTATGATGCTAATCAAATGGCTGAGGCCTTCCTGTTGTTGTTTCAAATGCTAAAAATAATTTTAAAAATATATAAGTTAACGTATTATTCTATTAACCTGTAAGCTAGTCACAAGAAAAGTACTCTTTTATTAGCAATACAACAGCTAGTAACTGCTCTAAATGTAGCAGCCGTGCATATTTAAATAGTTGTGTGACATCTTTTGCTAATGTACAACACAGTAAAAGATATACTCTAAAGAATAAAATCAAATATAAAATGAACAGTATCTTCAACAATGTTTTTTAGATGGCTATTCCTTTGATTAAAAAAAAACTACTATTACATCTAGATGATTAGTAAAATGATCATTTTGAAAACTGAAAATTTTCTTTTTCTGAAAGAGACAGGGTATCATTCTATTGCCAGGCTGGAGTGCAGTGGCATGATCACATCCCACCGCATCTTCAAACTCCTGGGCTCACACAATCCTCCTGTCTCAACCTCCTGATGAAGAGACAGAACCACAGATGTCTGCCACCACACCTGGCTAATTTTTCTTGTGCTCCTCCAGCCCCTGGCCTTTTGTTTTTGATACAGATTGTATGGTGGTGATAATGGTGATGATGAGTACAGATGCTACCATTGTGAAGAGTCCTTCTTACAGATTGAGGCACTATTGTAACAGCTTTATTGGTATTAAGTCATTTCAAATCCTTTCCAGCACCTTTTTAGGGGGAGGTACCATCATCATCTCTTAAAGTCAAAGAAATTGAGACACAGGTAAGCAACCTGCTCCAGGGTATAAAATAGATGGTGAGCTATGATTCATTCCAAATAAAATACTGATTTTCATCGTTTTAAAAAGGTGATTTTATATTATTCCCAGTTTTATTGCATACACAAACCTTTTAAATATAGCTCTTTATTATAATGTGCCGAAATCTCTCAGTTAATTTTACTGCACATACTTAAAAATGGAATATGACTGAATATATGTATACTTTCCAAGAATGCAGAGGCCAAACTAGGTTTTAGCTGCATAAAACAGTAATTTCTATTGCCCAGTACATAACAAATTTGGGTTTGTTGATGACATTTATAACCACCTAAAATCCTCAGGGTCATGCCAACAGTCCTACCTAATGTGTTCCACAGAGGTTACCATCTTACTACTTGGAATACTTAACACTTAATATTTGGAAAAAAGAGTGCAAAAACTGCTTTGAAAGGTAGGTGCTGGCATCAATTCATAGCTTCCTAAGGGGAGGACCTCAAAGGTGACCATTATGATGAATAGCAATGAGGAATGTAGCACTTTTTCTGGGATAAATTCACAAACTTAATGGTGTCATCTCCTATACCAATGAAAATTAGCCAAAGCAGTGTTTCCCAACTTTTTCATGCAAAGTGAGCCTTAAATAAGTGATGGGAGGTTCTAGGCACTCCAACCTCCACTTAGGTCCCTAGGGCTAAGGAGATAAATAACTCAATATATATTTATAACTTATATGTGGTACATGAGTTAGAAAGGTCTGATCTAGAACAGCTGCTTCTCAAACTTTCACATGCATACAAAAATCACTCTATGATCTTGAAAAAACGCAGATTGAGCAGCGGTGCAGTGAAGACTAAACTTCTGTTTCTGGTGACCTCCCCAGCTGTTGCTGACTCCTCTCTGAGCAGCAGTGTCTGGGACACCTTGGTGCCTCTTCTACCTCTACAGACGTCTTTTTTAGAAGAGGCAGATGATTAACATTTTTCATTACAGTAAAGTAGGCAAAAGATTGACCATTTTAGCCATTTTTAAGTGTACAGGTTAGCAGTGTTAAGTACATTTATGCTATTGTGAAACAATTACCACTATACATTTCATTTACAACTTTTTATCTTCCCAAACTGAAATTCTGTATCCATTAAACAATGCAACCCATTCCCTCCTCCCTACCCTGCAGAAAACACCATCTACTCTCTCTCCATCAGTGGACTACTCTACCTCGTATGAGTGGAACTGAATAGTATCTGTCCCTTTATGACTGGCTTATTTTACTTAGCATAACATCTTCAAGGCCTCTGCATGCAGTGTGTGTCAGAACTTCCCTCTTTTTAAAGGCTTATCTCCATTGTGTGTCTATACCACCTTGTTTATCCATATCCATTCCTTGGACAGACTCAGGTTATGTCCACATTTTGGCTTTTATAGTGCTGTTATGAACTTGTACAAGTATCTGTTTTGAGTCCCTGCTTCTAACCTTCTCGGGTATTCAGAAGTGGAAATATTAAATCATGTGGTAATTGTATTTTTAATTTACTGAGGAACCACTGTGGCTTCACCTTCTTACAGTTGCAGGACAGTGCAAGGTTCTAGTTTCTTCACCATCTCACTAATATTTTTTTTTTTTTTTTTTTTGGGTAAGTCATCCTAATAGACGAGAAGTGGTGAACTCACAGTTTACAAGTGCGCCCTCATGCAACAACTCACCTGCTTGATTTCTCGTAACAGATCTGCGTCTATATAATATTTCTCTTCTGATTTGACTGCTCCAAAATGGTTCTGCATCCTGATTTGGGACATCAGTTCATTTAGTCGGCCCTGAAAATAAGATTGAGTCAAATTATAACTGCTAACAACCACTAATTCTAAAAGAAATGTATTGATAGTTTCAAAAAACATCTATTAAAAATTTCTCATATTTCTATTCAAATTTTTTCTAACATTTGGTTTGCTTTAGAAAGGAAGTTTGCTTTATTAAAGGAAACAAATGTTAATAAACACAAGTATCCAAAATTCCTATTTGAAGATTACTTAACATTTTTCTGCAGATCCACCAGAAATAAATTTAGCTTCTATGGTCTTAGAAGAGCTCACCTTGAACTGAGTAGGTGCGTTGAGTTCACACTGAATTGTATCTAGCTGAACTCGCAACTGCTCTTCATCAGCCTGGATGGCATATCCACTCTTCCTTTGAATTTCCTGTTTGATTAGGACCTATACAAATAAAAGACACCAATATCAGGAGAATTGTCTCTTTTCAGTTAAGCAAGTAATTTCATTGTAACAGGTGCTGAAAGAAAGGTGAAGATTACACTAACAGTATAGTGGGGCTTAAAAGTCAAGATCTGAATTACATATCTATCCATTTTAATTAAGCAAAAGTTATATAAATATACTAAGGTAAGTTTAACAATTGTTTTAAAACTATGGTATTAGATGGCTTTTATAAAAATAGTTCAAAAAAACAGGCAACAAAAAAATCAGTTTTAGATATTTACTAGCCTTTGAAATCAAGTAGAATATTTAAATTTTAAAATTAATTTTTATTGGACTTCATTTGAGACTACAAAAGCAATGTGCTGCTGCTGTTCATTCTCCTATTTTTTTTCCTTGCTCATACAAACATACAAAACACATTCACCGCAACCCAAAATAGAACCATGAGGCAGACTCT